TACTGGTATTTAGCAAGCATTGCTGATAACACACTTGAAAAAAAAAGAAAAAAACCAAAAAAGTAAAAAAAAAATAATACAAAATATGCGTACAAAAATTGTGGCAGATTTCTTTGGCTGATAGTGAAGTATTTTTTGTGCGCCGTTTGATTTTTGCCGGTGTTTGTGAAGTCACCAGCAACGCCGATAAGTGCCTTGCCAAATTGTGGTTGTAAATTATCAAGTGCCCCACAGAAATACGAAAACCGAAACAAAAACAAAACATCGTCAAACAAACACAACACAAAATATATATATATATATATAATAATGGCAACACTTGAATCCAGTTTATTGTGTGCCGGCTGCACCAACAACAGTTGTGCTGGAAAGCTGGCTATCAAAGTCTATGGCTTGATAGCTTTCAAGTGACCGGACAATGATCATCGGTCCGGTGATCAACGAACATTATAAACTATAGCTATAGCTATAGCTATAGCTAGTGCCACTTAAGCGGAACATTACTCATGTCAGAATGTTAACTGAATACTATTTATAACTGTTTCTGCGGTGAGCTTTAACTATTAAGTGATGTTAACTTAATTAATATTGTTAACTTAAAGCTTTAGCAACTAGAATTGTTTGTCAGTCGTTGTGCTGGGTAATAAAAAGAAAACGTACTTTTTTTACTATTTAAGCCAGGGTCTCATATCGAATTACGTTTCGGTTCCGGTTCTGGACGAGATTACGTATTGGCTCCACATTTCTTTCTGTAATCGATTCACTTATCGCAATAGTATCAGTTACAGCAGCTGCTTCTTGCAATAAACTTAAACTTTTGCTCATTTTCAGCTGCCGAATTTTCAATTTCCGTTTCCGCTTTGACACACTTAAAAAGAGTTGTTGTTATTTAAATTGAATCATCAAATGCATTAATTACTTAAGTAACACAGCTATGTAAATCTCTTTCCCATAAATCAACCCAATTTCTCAGAGTCATTAAGCCAGCGACAACAGTTTCAAAATTTATTTCGAAAATCAACTAGGTTTTATGGGCGAATAAATAGGTCTTAAATATTTATAAAACGCTTGTAAATTGTACACGCAGCAAAATGCCACCTGTTTTGCTATCTATAGCATATATATATATATATATACATATATATATATACAAATATATATATTGGATATCATGTTAATTCTGTGTTTTATTACAACGATTTATAATATTTAACATCGGAGCATTCAGCAAATTATGCGCATTTTTGATGTGCACTATAAAAACCAAAGGTAAACGCCCAAATCAAACCCACCACAGAAGTTGGCCAATTAATTATGCAAATCCACTTGGCCACATTGAAAACTAATCTACAGCATCTGGATGATGCTTTTCACTCTTGATAAGAAAATACATATAGATTTGTGCATATGCTAATGAGTCTTGTGAACGGCGCCTAAACGTTTCGACTAAAAATGCTACACAGTTTCACTTCAGAGTGAAATGTTTGACTTTAATTGAATCGAGAGCTTTGCTGCATTACTCATACGCCACGTACGACACTAAACAAGGTTTTTCTGTTTTTGATAGATAAGCTTCGAGCCGTGACGTTCATTTATCATACAAAATTCATGTGGCTGCTGCGCCGCATCTCAACATAGGCCAATGCGGTGACCTTTGCGGGTCCATCGACCAAATACTTCCATCCCCACTCTACGGCTATTAGGCAATGTGCGTGTTGTGGTCATCTAATGGAGACTGCAGACGGAAGTCGCCACTGACTAGTGGCATCGGTCCATTTGAGCTCTTCAGCTTCTCTTCTTCTTGTCAGCATTTGCGTAATGCAAAAATTCAATTCAATGTGAATACAACACAAGCACATTTGACTTAAATGTATTTAGGCGTGCTTGTGGTTAGTTTTGCGAGACTTGTCTTTATAGAATATGGTTAGAGTAGCAGAAGGAACTCAAGAATAATAATAAACAGAAACTTTAAGCAAAGCCGAAGCGGAATTCAATTAAACACCAAAATGTGATCAAAAATACTTTACTTTCCATGTCTACTCAAGCATTTATTAGCAGAAGAAACTTACGATTAATAATAAACAGAAAATATGACTGACTCTTATGTAGTATTTAACGTGCTGAAAATGCCTTCACTTTTCAATTGGCAACAGTTTTAAGAAACTTTTTAGAGTATTTTTGAATTCTCATTCCAGTTTGCGGTTGATTTCATTATCCGCCCATATGTACAAGTACATATACGATATGTATCTTTCAGAGTGGCTTAGGCCAAAGTTAATTTGCAAGGCGGCATGTTTCATATCAGAGGCCGAAATGCTTTCAAGATGACTCAACAACAACAGCAACATGATTCGAATTGTTGTTGTTGTTGGTGTCGTGGTCGAAACACTTGAGAGAAAAACATGTTCTTTTGGTTTATCTTGGCGCCACGATCGTTCGGCACCGGGCGCGGTATTTGCTCAAAAACACAAAGGCGATAATTAAACGCAAAACAAAGCGACCGAGAACAGACAATCGCGAGACTCAGACCCAGAGCCATAGCCATAGCCATAGCCAGAGCCAGAGGCAGAGGCAGAGCCAGAGACGGAGACGGAGACCAGACGCAGAGACTGAACGAATACTCTGCGGCAAGCAACATCAAGTGGTCGGCCTTTAATTAGAAAAGGTGTAGAGCCCAACAAAAAGCACACAAACACACACAAACCTCCGAGTCAAAAGTTGCCTTTTTTTGGGCGCGCGCAAAGTGCATAAAAAATTACGACAGCTAATGAATGTCGGACGGAATCTGAATCCGAATCCGACTCCAACTCCAACTCCAACTCCGACCTCAGCAACAGCTTGGCAACTGCCGTGACTCTGTGCCAGCTGCTTGCCAACAATTTATTAGACAGATGATGTGTGCCAGCCAGCAAGGCAAAGTTTTTCAGCCAACTGGAAAAACAAAAAGAAGAGAAAAAAAAAATACATAGCAATAATAAAAACCGAAAAGAAAAATATATAAACTAAAGATAAACTTCATAATTGTGTCTGTGTGGCCAAGAAAAACAAAAGTTGTTGCTGCAGTTGCTGTAGATGTAGCTGTAGCCATATCTCGCATGTAAGTGTTAATGAAGTTAAGTGTTTTTGACGCGAACGTCCAACAACAAAACCAACAACAACAACAACAATTAATGAGAAGTCGCATACCAGACAACAACAACAACAACAACAAAAGCGACGAGGGCGAAACGCACAAAAATGTTCAGGCCACATGATAAAGATCAACACATAGCAAAAAAAATATGTATATATATATATATATATCTATATGTATATGTGAAAACCGACATAGGCCAACGACAAGCGTATCTTGCGGATAGCTCAAGGCAAACTAACTACAAGTTGCCAAGTGAAACTTCGGGCCAAGTTAATTGAAAGATCCATCCCAAGAGCTTTGACAACATAACCAGATTAGAGTAGCTGACAGTTTAGCTGGAAAAACGACAAGACGACTAAATTAAGCAAATAAAATAAAGTTAGCAAAACTACTACTAGCAGTTGACATGAATGCCAAACTCAAGCAAAGTATCTTACAGATACTGTTTCAATTATTTTGAACTACTGAGATTCACTTTAAGCAAAGCAGATTAGTCATCAGCATTATAGATGCTCAAGATTAAAGATATGGTTATGCTAGCTACTAATTATGAATTCAACCTAATACACTTTTGGTCTGTATTTGTTTTAATACTTAGGTTAACTGTTAATAAAGCTGATCAGTCGACTTGTAAACTCTTGAATAGTTTATTTGATGTACATATATGCTCAGGATTAAAGATATGGGAATGCCAGCATACACAGACCACTTAAATATAAGTGATCTATTTAGTCTAGCAGATATAAATAACAAAGCATAATTTCACAATGGCAGGCAGATGATAACCCAGAATTCCACATTTGCCGCACACAATTTTAGATAGCAATGAAAACCAGGTCAACAGTGATCCGACAAACAATGAAATCTACTCTCGAAAGTCGCGCTCCCTGCACCACCACCACCAACAACAATTCACTTAAACCACCAGGCAGACAGGCAGCCAGGCAGGCAGGCAGGCAGTTGGGCAACCACTCGCTCATCTTACCCGGGCACTTTTGCTAATTGTCTTCAAGCAATGGTGACGCCGCTTTGCTGGGAAAAATAACAAAACATCTCGGGGAACTCACTTGCATAATCATAATAATAATGCTTATGCAATTAAAAGTCGTGTCCTGAAGGATGGCTCTGCAAAGTGTAAAGCGAAACGAGAAATTGGGTCAGCATTGCCAACAAGGGCGAGCACTGGAATATATATTTATGTGTGTGTGCTGCTTAATTAACTAAAAGCAGCAGAGTAAAAAACAAAAAGAGTTGAATGAATTCGAGAGAAGTGCTGCGATGCAGCAGGACTTGGATTTATGCGGCGTATGAGTAATGAAATGGCCAACACTTTTGACGGCTCGCTCGTTATGTTGCCGCGACGACTACTTGGATAATAGTAATAATAATATAATCAAGAAAGCCAAATGCTGTAGAATTTTCAATTAAAGTAGTGAACGAAAAGACAACTTGTCGGACGACGTCATTAATTAGGAATGCTCTCGGCGCAGTCGCCTTTCAAGTGTCTGTGGTCTGTGTTGGCGTTGAGGCATAAAACTTTACTTCTTCTTCTTTTACTGCTTGTTTTCTTTTAGTTTTTTGTTGTTGTTGTTGTTTTGGTGCAAATTGCAAATAAATTGCAAGCAGCCGCCGCCGCCACCACAGACAAAGTCAAAGGCAAAATATGCCGCCAAAGGCAAAAGCGGCAAGCAGCACGGGGCAGGATTAGATGTATACAGTAGTCAACTAGGGGGCTGCGGCATAGATACACAACAACAACAACAACAATGTGAATGCCCCACTCAATTTCATGCCACTTTGCATTTTAATTAAAAAGTATCTATATCTCACACTCACACTTCGCTCTCTCTCTCTCGTTTTGCAGTTCAGGAATGCACCACAGACTCGGAGGAGCTGATGTATCATCAGGTGCGCGCCTCATCCTCATGCAGTGCGCCGCCAGATTTGCTGCTGGTCAGCGAACGTGACAATAATATACAACTCAGATCACCGGTGGTTAATATAATCACCACGCCTCCGGGCAATGCAACTGGCGTTGCAGCAACCAAACAACAGCAACAACAGACGTTGCCACTTCATCAGCAGCAGCAGCAGCAGCATCAACTGCAGCAGCAGCAGCAGCATAATTATCATCATCATGCAACCAGGCAACAGCAGCAATTGCAGCAGGACATGAGCAGCAGTGGCAGCCACAGCAAACACTTGCGTATCAGCAGCTCCAATAGCAAACATGGCAAATATGTAAATATGCCACAGTCGTCGCATCAGCAACAACAGCAGCAGCAGCAGCAGCCGGATGAGGCAGATGTGGTGGATGCGGCAGCGGCAATGCCAACGTTGCCGCATGCAACACATCCGCAATTCTCGCGGCATTTACATCATCACAGCAAGGAGGAGCGCATACGTCTGGAGGTGAGTGGACCAAAAAAAAAAAGTCAACTGACTTCATTGAGAATTTGAAATTTTGTGGGGCTTTTGAACTGGTTTAAACATGACAAATTTAAAGCTGTATTTGGGATTAGAATTTGTCATTTGGAAGGATATGCTTTAAAAGTGTAGTTTTATTGCTAGTGGAAATCGATTTGTAAGGACTTCGACTTGGCTTTTTATCTTTATCAATAATATATATACTTTATGAGGTCAGAGATGCTTTCTTCTGCCTGTTACATGCTTTTGCAGAAAAACAATATCCCCCTTTTTACCCAATGTTAATATGCTCATATGTATAAAAAGATTTACTGCATTATAAAGTGGAAATGCAGCAATGTAATATTTCCAAATCAGTAAATATCAAAAATAGTTGAATTTTATGGGCAATAAATAGAAGTTTAACATCATGTTAAAGTCGTTAACAATGAAGTTTGACAACATGCTAAAATTGCTAATTCAACTTGTCGTTTTGTAATCAGTTAATTAATTACCGTATTTGCATTACTTTGTTTATGCGTGTTGCTCTGCAAGAATATGCATAAAATCAATATAATTACGCAACTTACATCGCAAGATTTTGCAGAGTCATCTAATAAATTGAATGCAAACAACACTTAATATTAAATATGTAGTTTATGTGCTCATAATCTATGTATAAGCATCTTCATCTTGCAACATTTGCCCTCTGTGGCCCATAGAAATTGTGATTTGTTGAACAAATTGCTTATGCATTGTTTGTTGTTTTTGGAGACTATTAAGTACGCAAATAAATTAAATTATGTTTAGTTTTCCAATTCTCAATTGACCCCCAACCAGGTGAAATTGCTCGTTAATCGTGTTGTTGCTGGTCAAGTTTAATCAACTGAGTGTTGTTAATGGCGCTGTTGTTGCTGCACCACCATTGCCATATTTCATGACCCACCGGGCAGCAACCTCACATAAACTCAACATTTAAATATGCTTTTAATTAAAATTTCTTATTCTTCGCAATACAAAACATCAACAAGAACAACAATAAAAACCACACCGAACAAAGTTAAATATTTGTTTTTTTGGTTGTTTTATTTTGAGTGGCGCAGCAATTACCGCCCAGTGCAACAAACACCGCTTTGCCCTTACCACCCACACCCCGCAAAAAATATCAAAACATTAAAATTCAATAAAACCCATTAAAAGTGCTGCTAACAAAAAACACACTGGCAAAAGAAAACTCGCAGCGTAGAAAGCACTTAAAGGCAATTAGAAATCTTCAAGCGGAGTAGCAAGAAATTATATTTATTTCTTTTGCACAGCACCGAGGGGTGGTCTGTTTGCGAGGAGGGTGTGTGGGTTGCTTTGGAGTTGAGGTTGCTTTGGTAGTTGTGTCTTCTACCAGCACTTTATCAATGGCAAAATGGAGCGCCACTGCTGTTTCAACTGCTGCTGCTGCTGCTGCTGCTGCTGTTTGTTTCAATTTTTTGGTTGGGTTTCGGTTGCCTTTGCAGTTGCCGGCGCAGCGTGCGAGAAATTAAATATTTAGTCAAATTATGGCCACAATTTTCGAATCTACTCCTAGCCCAAATAATGCTGTTGCTGATGCCAGTGTTCCTTGTAATTGCTGTGCTTGTTTTTGTGGTTTTGCTTCACACAAACGCGCACACACACACACAGAGAGAATTTGACATTGTGGCTAGAAAAAGTGTTGCATACTTTTTGGCTGGCACCTTAAATTCTCCGTTATGTTGGTTGGAAGTGGAAAATAGCTACAGCAGATTTGTTGCATGCATTTTTATGAGCTTCAAATCAAAGTTAAGTGTTGCACTTTATTCGCATTTTTAGCACTCTGCACAGCTGGCAATATTTGTGAGCAGCTTAAGCGGCAAATGAAAACTTTTAAGAGAAATAGAAAAAGTTGCTTTTAGTAGCTTAAGGCGTATTTCAGAGTCGTGTTAAATTGTTTGACTGTTATCAAAACAAAGTGAGAATAAAGGAAAAAGACTTTCAAATTGTCTTTTAGGTAATTTGACACTGCGAATATAGAAACTAAAGTTGAAGCTTTCCGTTCTTTCTGTGCCCGTTCTAATATCATTTTGATTTTTCTAGGAATTTACCTGCGATGTATCCGTTGAGGGTGGCAAATCGTCGCAGCCGCTGCAATTTTCATTCACATTCTATGATCTGGATGGGCATCATGGCAAGATAACCAAGGATGATATTGTGGGCATTGTTTATACCATATACGAGTCCATTGGCAAGTCTGTGGTAGTGCCACACTGTGGCAGCAAGACAATTAACGTGCGACTCACCGTCAGTCCCGAGGGCAAATCGAAATCACAGGCAGCTGCCGCAGCAGCAGCAGCAGCAGCGGCGGCGGCAACAGCAACAGCAACAGCAGCGACGGCAGCTGCCACATGCAACAACAATAACAACAGCAACAGCAACAACTACAATAGCAGCAAATTGAAGAAGCTGCCCACGGGTTTGGCGGCCATGTCAAAAACAGTGAATGGCATGGCGCTAACGACATCCGGCGGTGCACGCCGCCAGCATCGGCATCGACCACGCAAACTGATTAAATCCGATGACGAGGACGATGACAGCAACAGTGACAAGGAGAAGGAGCTGACAACAGTTGCCGCCGTTGAACAGCAGCCCAGTGGCAGTGGCAACAGTGGCAAGCAGCCAAAGTCTAGATATCACCACAAGAACAATACTAAATTGGAGCAGTGCTGCAACGCACAGCAACAGCAGCAGCACAGCAGCCGGAACAAACGCAACATACGCCGGACAATGGCCATAACAATACCTGCGAGAATATGCTGAATCTCAAATGCTGCAGCGGCGCAGCCAACAAGGATGCCCCCGTCGATGTGGTCGACTGTCCACAGCGCACGCGACACCACCACCACAACAACCACCACCAGCAGCAGCACCACAGCCAGGATGTCTACATGAAGCAGGCAACACAACGCGTCAAGCTGCTGCGGAAGGCACGCAAACAAAAGGTAGGCCACAATCTATACACAAAAAACCCTTCTAGAAAAAAATACAACTTCAACAATCATTTAGAAAGAAATTTGAAGGGAAAATCACAAATATTCTATTTGAAAAATGATTAGCGGCTTATTAAAATAGTCCTCAAACATTATATTTATACAAAACACATTTTGTAATTTTGCCAGAATTATTAAAAATTAAATGTGGAAGCTTATTAAATCATAAACAATTTAGAAAAATTAGAAATGGCTTACTGGATTGATAGACGACTTAAAAGTTGCTTGAGAATTAATTGATATTCGATATTAATATATTGAAAGATTATTTAACAAAATATAAAAAATAGTTACAAAAAATTGCAGAAAAAATTAGATTATGCTGATTGATTGTTTAAGTCTGAAATATGATTGAAAATTGGTCAGAAAATTAATAAACCGAATCGAATTGATAGCAAAGAACTGAATTGCTCATAAAAATTGATCGACGTAAATATTCGAAATAAATTCAAGTAGACAGTTTAGCTACCCATAAAACGTCGCTCTTTTACTTTATCATATTTCATTTAATTATTCGGCATGCATTTTTGTTAGATTTTCTTCATTTTTGCCAGATTATAATTTGTTTGTATTGTTCTTTTCGTTTTTGGTTGACTCGCTCATTACGCATTACGATTGATTGCCTCACATCACAGTATCAGGATCACTGCCTCGAAACGCGTCAACGCAGCCTATCTGTGGGCAACGATTCCACCTGGCAGAATCGCCACTTGCAACAGCAACAGCAGCAGCAGCAGCCGCAACAGGTGCAACAGCCGCAGCAGCAGCAGCTGGCTCAGAAGAGCGTCTCATCCTCGCCACCGTTGGGCGATGTGATGCTCGATGGTGTTCAGTTGCGTCAACCACGCCCACAATCGTTGCTGGGGCAACAGCAGCGAAAGTCTGCCGAGTGCTGGAAATCGGCGCTGAATCGCAACGATTTAATTAGCATCATCAGGGAGAGCATGGAAAAAAATCGCTTGTGTTTTCAGCTAAATGGGTAAGACAAAAGAATTGAACTGAAGGCGAATATTACATAGAGAATCGACAGTGGCAATAGTTCGGATTGTATGTTATTAGGCAGAGAATCGATAGTGAAGTTAACGCATGACAATGTGCATTTTAAAAATATTGATAGATTTAACATAAATCCTAATAAAAAACAGGAATTCAACTGGATATGTGGAAATAAATGTAGAGTTTTTACACAAAAATAAAAAAAATTAATTATTTCAAAGCTGAAAAGGTGACAAAATAACTAATAAAAGAAACTTTATTTTAGTAATTTCATTTTAGTCGTTACTTTATTTGTAATACATGGTTTTTTTAATGGATTTTCTTTTCTTGAACATTTACTTATTATTTATTCATTTATATTATTCAACATAATTATCATGGAATAAGCCATGAAAAATAAAAGAAATCATAAATGGGTCAAAAATCAAAATAATTTAGAAATGAATGCTTAGAAAATTTCATAACATTTCCGCTTATAATTCACAAAAGGCATATGTATAATCGAATTAGTAAATAGTTATTGTGTATCTAGAACTTATTTATATGCAACATTAAAAATAAACATAGAGCACAACCACAAGACAAATATGAACAGCTGGGATTAAATTCATGAAATATGCAAGAAAATATAAAAAAGGAAAAAGGCAAGCAAATTGAGCACTTTAGCAAGGCAGTCAAATGAAAGAGAAAGGAGCTCAGTTTAGTATTTATTTTCAATTTCATTTTTTCATATGCCCCACTCCCAATACTTCGACTTGCTGCTGTTTGTGGCCAACAATAAATGCTGACTCACCCTTATGTTAATTTGGCTTATGCTTTTCAATTTCCTTTTTTGATTTTGTTTTTTTTTTTTTTTGCGACCTAGCTGACCTGACTCTGCCTCTCGAAACGCTATGAATAGCAGTGTTAATTAAAAGCTTTTACTTTTCTTCTTTGTTGTTTTTGTAGAAAACCCCAAGCCAATGTGAGTCCCATACGGCAACCGGCAGCACAACAACAACAACAGCAACAGCAACGCCAACGCTGCAATACAGGCTCGAAAATCCCGACACTAATTGCGAATCACAGTCCGCAGTCCGCTCAGTCGCCGCTCAGCTGCAGTCCGCCCACGCAATCGCCGCAGCCCAACAACATCAACAGCAACAACAGCAACAGCAACAGCAACAACAACAACAACAACTGCAACAACAACAGCAGCAACATCGCAGCCGGACACGATACGGTCAACAATATCAGCAGCAGCAGCAACAACCAATACATCCATCCGCAGCCGCATATACCCATCTACCATCAGCAGCTGGCCATTAATCCGGCCGTTGTTGCCGCACAGCACACTCACAATAGTGCGCATAACAAGCTCAATCTGTGCGGCTACGATTCGTTTCTGCATGCAACAATTTGTGGCGGTGGCGCCACCCATTCCCCACCAGCGACGCCCAGCAATGTGGCCACCGTTCAGCCCATACCCAAGAAGAGTAACAAGCAACAACAGCAGCAGCAGCAGGGTCAGCAGGGTCAGCAGCAGGGGCAAGGATATCAGCGATTGGAGCAACAGCAGCAGCAGCAGCGTAGCAGCAAGGATTACAAGAACTATGGCAATCTCATCTATGCCAAGCTCAGCGAGCAACTGCAGCAAAAGGAGCGCGAGCAGCGTCGCCAACGCCACAAGCAACAACCGCAGCAGCAGCAGCTGCAACAGCTGCCACAACAAAATAAGACAACTGCCTCACAGGACACTTCGCGTCCAGCGACATCGAGCAGCAGTTCGGCTGGTTCCAAGATCTTTGGCGATGCATTGGAATGCGCCCATCTGCTGGCCAGCGAGGAGGAGGATGAGTTGCTCTCGGCCAGTCCCATATTGACGAGCACACCTAGCAAGGTCGTCTCCACGAACACACTGATCGATCTGAACGATGAGGTGGGCGAGGCACTCGCCGAGGCTGTTACCCAGGCCAAGGATGTGGATGTGGATGCGCCAGCTGCCGATGCGGATCTAGATACGAGCGCCTCCAGCTCAATGATACATCGCTATGTGCACGAGCATATACATCATCATTATCATCACTTCAAGGAGCAGAACGATGTCTAAACTAATTTAGAAACTATAAATGTTGCTTATGTTTCTCGTATGTTTAATGTAGCGCAATTTTGTAATTTAATTAGCCATTTAACAAGATGAAAAAACACACACACAAAATCATCCAAGACGATATTATTTGATTGTTGTTACACGAGGTTAGGGAAGAGGATGCCTCGCTGTTTGAAATACATACATATATATAAATACATACATACATACAATTGAATCTGAATTCCATGGACAACACTAACAAACTGTAGCTAAATGATAAGATTTTTTGCGCCTTTGCCTTAGCAATATTTGAAACATTTTTAGTAGCCATCAACGATTGCTTCGCTTATGCAAAAACCAGCCTAGCAACATATCATCGCTGTATGTGTGTAAAAAACAAAAACAAAAACAAAACAAAGCAAAACTATAACTATTGTTTAGTGCAAATTATGCACTGAAAAAAGAAACTATAAACGAGCAAATTTGTTGTCTATTATATGAAATTTTATGCGCCGCTTTTAAGTGTATAGAGAGCACAAACATTGTCTATAAATATTATAATTAAATATTATTATTTTTATTATGGAACTATGGCCTCCATTTAGGTTAACTATCATCATGTTTATTTATGCATATGTACCAATTAAAATACTATTAATATGTAAAACCAACCAACAACAAGACACGCAACAATGCAACAAACAAAACAAAAAAAAAACCATAAATTATAGTTCAATTATAATTTTTTTTTATTATTATTTTACTGAATTCTTTCATCGAAAACAATCAATCAAATCAACAACAAAAAAGCACAACAACAAAATGCATTTAACTTTTATTTAAATAAAAAAAGACTGATTTCCAATTAAACAATACATTAATTATCTGCGTATAAATTAATAAATATATATATATATATATATATATATATATATATATATATATATATATATAGAAAATTTATGACAAATACTAAATAAATTATTGAATTGCTAAAATTAAATGAAAAAATGTTGAAACTCATTTTTAGGTCTGGAGATAAAATATTAAACTGGGTTGCACTAAAAATAAATCAAAATCTTCTGGTTGGGGCAAGTTTTGGATAAGCCAAAAAACTTGAAAGGATCTGATGGAATTTCAAGAGCAGTGTGTGTTGAGAGAGATAGAGAGAGTGGGAGGGGGTTGGGAGTGTGAGGGGCAAGTGAGAGCAAATGTATAGCAACATATTAAGATGCGTTTATTGTTTCTTTGGCGTGCGTCTATCGCCAAGTTCTAATAATAAATCGTCGTGCGCCAAATGACAAGAGAAGGAGATCTACATCTACATCGAGATCGAGCAGAACAAGAGCAGACCTCGAACGCTGCCAACCAGAGACACAAAAGATATCAAGTAAGAATGTGGCACGAGTAAATAGTCGACTGTTCAATACACTGTTTTCAGTTGAATAACAGCAGAAAATTGGCTCAAGAGTGCTTCGAATAAGAGATGAAAGCCTCTCAAACTGTCATCCCAAGCTAATATCATAAGTCAGATTATTATTACTTTAGAATATTCACTGTGTAGGAATATATTTGATAACGATTTGAGGATTTTTATATGGTAAATATAGTTTAATAAAATTGAATGTTATAGATGCTAGTCATTCCGCACTGCGTAAAATCAAACGACTTGCTTTGGTTCAGAGAAATTAGTTATGATTGTAAAAGATTTGAAAAATAGCATATATAATTATTTATTTCTTGGTGACCTCATTTTAGAATATATCTTTTGCTGGCCAGAGCCAGAAACATACCGAAAAAATAGAAAAAACAAATATCTATAACATTTATTTTATTATTAAGATAATTTTAAAAATACAAATTAAATGTATTTTACTTTTCTCATAAAAAAACAAGGCAAAATTCTTATTCAATTCGTTATAAAAAATATGACCTTGAAGCGTGCATCTGAATTGGGTTTATACACACATGTTGCCAGACGACCCAAAATATACCCCTTTGTCATTTGGGAAGCAGAGTATAATTACCGCAGCGCCAACAAATGAAATGTTGCTTCGCTTGTTGTGTCAGTGAATTTTCAAACGTTGCCCATTACGCAAACACAGGCCGCAGACACAACACAAACTCCATACGCATATTTAGCCAGCATAAGGATTACGTGAATGATGACTACGCCCACAAGTTGCGCGTATTGCCAACAGCGTGCAACACAATTGTGCGCCGGCTGTCGCAGTGTGGTTTACTGCAGTCGCGAGCATCAGAAGGAGCACTGGAAGCGTGGCCACAAGCGGGAATGCAAGTGCTACGAGGTGACCAGCAACGAGCTGCTCGGCCGGCATCTGCGCGCCACACGCGACATTCGGATGGGCGAGCAAATCATGTGCGAGGCACCGCTGGTGGTAGGGCCCAAGGTTGCCGCAACGCCACTGTGTCTGGGCTGTCACAGGAATTTGCTGGCGCCGCAGAAACCAGCGATGACCTTCTACAAATGCAGCTCGTGCAGCTGGCCCATGTGCAGCAAGGAGTGCGAGAAATCGCCATTTCACCTGGACGAGTGTCGCCTGATGGCGGCGAGTAATTTTCAATCCAAGATAAATTATAATCCAGCCGATCCGGAGGGCAAAGAGTCCGCCTATTGCGTCATAATGCTGTTGCGTTGCATGCAACTGAAGCGTAGCAATCCCGAGGCATTTGCCCGGCTCGCTGCACTCGAGGATCATCTGAAGGAGCGCATCGAGACGCCACTGTATCAAGTGCTGCGAGCCAATCTGATAACGTTTATCAAAACGGTGCTGGGTCAGCGGGATTGGCCCGAACTGGAAATCCTCCGCATTGCCGCCATTCTGGACACGAACGCCTTTGAGGTCCGGCAGAACGGGGAGCGTCGCAAGGTGCGCGCCATTTTCCCGGGCGGTGCCATGATCGCCCACGATTGTGTGCCCAATTTGAGGCATCGCTTCGACGACAACATGCGCATCATCTTCCTCGCCAAGCGACCCATTCCCAAGGGCGCCATTCTCAGCATATCCTATACGCAACCATTGCGGAGCACCGTGCAACGGCGAGTGCATCTCAAGCAGGTCAAATGTTTCGATTGCGCCTGCGAAAGATGCTCGGATCCCACGGAACTGGGCACCTTTGCCGGCGCACATCTGTGCGGCAAGTGCAAAGTGGGCAAGGTGAGTCCACGAAGTGGAACGGTTTTTATTTATGCGACAAAGCGAATCAGAAGGTTGCCCTGAAATTTAGAAAATCGGATGTGACTAGAAAACTTTGAATATAAGAATTCTGTGTAAAAACACACACTGAAAATTAGGTACAATTGTTGTAGCAAAAAAAATTGGCGTGAAATTTAGAAAATGGCCCTACACTGAAAATAAGCCCGAAAACAAGAACAATTTTAATGGAAGAATTATACATATTTTTTCAAAATTTTGCAAAAATCGACCCTAAAAACTAGAATTATTTTCTACATTGTAGATACATTGACTAATAATTAGACATATAATTTAGAAAATATAAATAATTTGTTTTGAGAAGCAAATAACCTTTACAACGGTTTTGAAATATATTTTCTGAATAATTAGCTGAGTTGCCATTGTCGTCAAAAGTATTTTCTCACGGACGTGGCTAGATCGAACCGACTTTGGATTCTGATCAAGATTGTATATACTTTATGCCTCGTAGATTTTTACCACCTCTCTCACTCATCACCTCTATCTCTCTCTCTCTCTCTCTCTCTATCTGTCCCACTCTCTTTCTGCCCCCTCTATCTCTCTTCACTTGTCTTTTTTCAGGTCATCTCACAAAATCCGTTAGAGAATGCCGCCAATTGGCATTGTCAGCTGTGCAATGTGAAGAAATCGGCTCGCGAGGTGCTGACCCAGGATGCGAGACTGCAGCAGGAGATTGAGTCGCTGGACAAGACGACGCCTGTTCACCTGGAGGAGTTCATTCAGGGCCATCGCATCGACTTGCACGATACAAACACGCACATTTTACAGGCCAAATACGCTTTGACGCAGCTTTACGGCACTGCGCCCGGATATGCAATGGATGGTAATTAAAGAAATTAGAAAAGAGATAAATATTATTTGGGAAACAACCAATTACCAATTTTATGTTATCTTTTCGCAGAGCTCAGCGAGGAGTCGCTTAAGCGAAAAGTGGATTTGTGCGAGGAACTTTTGCAGATTTCGAATCTCTTCGATGGCGGTTGGAGTATTTTTCGTGGCAATTTGCTGATTGATTTAGAGGAGGCGTTGGTGGCGCAAGCGCTACGCTTGCAGCTCGCCAGCGAGTGTGAATCGAAGCTGAAGCGGGCCGAGGAGCTGCTCGAAGAGATCAAGAATATTATGAAACATGAGCCAGAAGAGATGCAACAAATGCTTGCGGAGCGACAGCAAATTTTAAATGCGGCTATGGCGCCATTTTCAGTTGGTGTCGAATAACTCACAAGAGTAATATTTCAATTGTGCACACATTTCACTGTTTAACTGCACAATTTTTATTTTAATAGCGAAATTCAGTTTTCTATTCCTATTTATATTTGAAAATATAACTGTCAATATTTTACTTGACACTTGTAATGGTTGGCAATGCGACACTTGACAACGTCGCTTAGTTATTTCAATCGACCGGCCGCCACATTAATAGTCGTTTGCCTTAGAGCAATGTAACAAACCATATTTAGGATGTCTATTTAAAGCATGCTATGTTAAACCAACATGGTTAAGCTAGAGACACAACATTTAAATGCATAACTGAGGCCAAAATGCAGTATATTTTTAAACCTTGTGTTGGCGGCAAATAAGTATGCCATCACGAATCCAGATCGTGATGATAGTCGAACCATCGCAAAGCATCGATAACTCTTGTAATCTATCGGTTGATTTCACGTGTTGCATATTCGTAAATTGCGTTTTTGTTTATAAAAACAATAAAAAATGGAAGCGGCCACAGCAGACAAACAGTTCGAGCACACAGAGAGTAATGTAGAAATAAAGGAAAACTCAGAGCAGCCAGCTGAAGAGGGTGCTGCCGAAAATGAAGAAGTGGAAAAAGCCGGCAATGAATTTGACTATTTGGAGCGAAATGAATTCACTTCGGAAATCTACAAAATTGAAGTGAAAAACATGGGTTATTTTGGCATTGGGGTAAGTTGAGGCAGTTGCTCAAAGCAATATCTGATTAAGATGCTCTTGCAGGAGTTCAAGAAGCTGCTGAAGAACACACTCAAGCTGGACATGACGAAAATCAAGTCGCCCACCCGCAAGGAGTTCGCATTTGTATGTTTTCGCAGCCAGGCGGATCAGCAACGGGCTGTGGAAACGCTCAACGGATACAAGTGGAAGGGAAAAGTGCTCAAGGCCATGTTGGCCAAAGCATCTGCCGATCCTCTGCACAAGCGGCGCAGCGAAACGGATGCCGCTGAATCGAAGCCAAAACGCCAACGAACTGCTGTCGAGGCAACTTGTCCTCTGGCCGAGATGCCATACGAGCAGCAGCTCGAGCAGAAGACTGAAGAGATGTCCGCGCTGCTCAAAAAATACACGCAGGAACTGCGCCGTTTGAATGCCGATGCCAAACCGCATCTGGACAAATTTCAGTTTAATGGCGTGCTGCCTTCGCCCATTGTTCAGGGATATCGCAATAAGAACGAGTTTACCGTGGGCAAGAATGCCGAGGGCGAAATTGTTGTTGGGTTTCGCTTGGGCAGCTACAGCGATGGCTCCGTTGAGGTAGCCGAGGTGCAACAGTTGCCCCATTTGCCCGCGCAAGCGAAGTGGGCGGCACAAAGTTTCCAGCAGCTGGTCAGGCAATCCAAATTTCAGCCCTTCAATCCAGTTGGCAATGTGGGTCACTTTCGGCAGCTGATGGTGCGCAGCTCCAGCGCCACGGGTGAACTAATGCTCGTCGCCGGCATATACTCCTCCAATTTAAGCGAAGCGGAGCAGTTGGAGTTGCAGCAGGAGCTGAAGAACTTCTACGAGCAGGCTGAACAGAATGCGGAACACAAGTGCACCTCACTCTACTATCAGGACGTCAAGCATCGCGAGGCGGGGCAAATGGTGAATCCTGTCACCCATCTCCTGGGCAGCACACACATAACGGACACCATTCAGGAGCTGCAGTTTCGCATCAGTCCATTGGCTTTCTTTCAAATCAATACGGCCGGCGCCAATGTTCTCTATCAGCAGGCCATTGATCTGGCTGCACCGAGCAAGGACACAACTATGCTAGATATTTGCTGTGGCACAGGTACTATTGCCTTGGCATTTGCCAGGCACTGCAAACAGGTGTTGGGCGTCGAAATTGTGCCGGATGCCATCAAGGATGCGGAGTACAATGCGTCAGCAAATGGCATCACCAATTGCAAATTCTTCGCGGGAAATGCGGATGACTTCATCAAGAGCATGGTACGCGAGGCGCTCTACGGCCAGGAGCCGGGCAAACCTGTCGATCTGATAGCAGTGGTGGATCCGCCGCGAGCTGGACTGCGTAAGTTGTGAGAAATAATCAAAATCTTGTTCTGCAAACAAATCTACTGGGTTACTTTGCCAACCACCCTTCAGCAAGTCATCCTTTTTTTTGGCGTGTAGAATGTTTCTAATAATAATTTAAATTCGAATCCCTTGCAGACAATCGTTCCATAGCCGCCATACGCTCGGCGAGTGCCATCAAGCGTCTGGTTTATGTTTCCTGCAATCCACACAGTGCCAAGCGCAATTTTATTGAGCTAGCCCGGCCAGAGTCCAAGCAGTATAAGGGCGAGCCCTTCTACTCAAAGTCAGCGGTGGCTGTGGACATGTTTCCACATACGACGCACACGGAGCTGGTCATCTTATTTGAGCGTGAGTCAACAACCACAGCAACGACGACGGCGACGACAATTCAACCCGAAGGTGTGGCAAAGGATGCAACGGATGGGGCAACAAAAGAGTGCATTGCAACATCGCTGGCAACAGCCACAACATGATGATATTTTTGGGTACAGTTCCTTAGTTAATATAAAAACACAATTTATATATATATATATGCATATATATATAACAGATAAACAGATTTCGTTGCAGGCTGCTCTCTGTGTCGGCTTTTTTGCGCTCTTGTCACATTGTTGCTTATCAACATCCATCAACGGCTCTTTGTTTGACGACTGCGAGTGCTACGAGTTTTATTATTTAAATTGATTTAATTGTATTTGCGGTGTTCCGGCGTCTGGTGTGACAGCAGCGACTTCCTCTTTACTAGTTTTAAAACATTGCTCAACAATTTTCAATTGTCATCAGTTTGTGCCGGCAGCTCGATAAGAACTGATTACAGCAGCATCCATCTATTTATCATAGAGTTGGGGGTGCAACAAATGTGCAAGTAACTCGAGAGTGTGTTAACACTATTCGTCAATTGTGGCAAGAACAACGCCTGAGAAGCTACGAGGAACTTAAGTGACCGACAAGTGACCGATAATGTCCGAGCAGGTATACTTAATAAAAGTATATTTAATTTAGATAACTTACTGTTTGTTAAACTCTAAAGATTTTTATATTAATATGATACATGTAAGTTTTGTAATTGAAATATTTTAGTTAAATTACTTGAAGTGAATTTGAATGCAGTTATTTAAAAACAATGTACATATCCACATAAAATTGTTATCACACAATTTAAGCAATGGTGGAAATTTATTAACGAACTGAATTAAAAGTTTATAACTTTGTTAACTATTCGCATTAAAAGTGAATTTGCGCTATCTTTTAAAAGACGTATGACTCTGGCCTAGTTATTTGTGGAGCTATTGGTTGTTTAACATTTCCGTTTTAACTTATTCCCTTTGCTAAACGAGTCGAGAAGCAATTACAATTATTATCTTTGCTACACAAGTTGACCTTCAACTTCAGCGTTAAATAGCAACAATTCGAAATATTTTTTGTAAGACAAGTGTTGAATAATGTCAACAATTGCCAGCTGTAGACGAAAAATTGAATACATTATCATGCTATAAATACAGACGGACATGCATTGGCACAGAAAACTGTTTTGTAAACGTGACTGGGAACTTGTTGGCATGTTTACATATTTGTGTGCATATAATTTGTATATATTTGAAACACAAAATTGTACTTTGGACTCTTATGTGGTGTTTGTCTATAAAGTGAAATGATTTCACAAAGCAAAGCAAACAGATGAGGAAGAAAAGAACAACAACAACAATAACAACGATCGATAAGACGGCGACTCTTGCAAATAAAGCACTCGCAATAAAAATGGGAACAGAACAATGAGTTCGTAAACAGAAATATAAACGTGTGTGGCTATAAACATATACATACATATAAATATATACATATATATAACCATATAATATATATATGAATATAAATATATAGTTCTACATGGCAACACTAAATATTTAGACATAATCTTATGATTACGATCGTTGCCCGCATAAAAGAGAAGAGACCTTGATCAACAGCTTTGAACCCACAGCGATTTGCGCACGGAAAAGCTCACATATCGAATAAAACGCATGTTGACTGTTGTTGGCTTATCAACAACACGTAAACAAACCAACAAGGAAAACAATCACCACTCAACCGACGCGAACCGGTTTCAGAGAGAGCGAGAGAGAGAGAGAGAGAGAGTGGCACCCGTAGAGAGCAAAAGCTCATGGGATGCTGACTGTCAGCCGAAGGGGCCTGGCAACGACAACGTCAAAACAAACATTTCACGTGCACATCGGCAGCGTTATGATGTCTGCACACGACTAACACGTTTTGTGTTTGGAGGATTGACTGCTGTCGCTCTCTCGCATTGACGTTCTCTCGCTGCCTCGCTCTCGCTATCTTGCTTTGAGAGCTTCGGTGAGTTTTGTAATGGAAGCAAGGCTGTTTATAAATATTTGCGTACCTCGAGTATACCCTATAATCAATTTAAAGCGCTTGATAATCTGTGGTTTGTTTGGCGCCGCAGCTATTTCTATTAACACAGTGACTGTAAATTAATAATGCAAATATTTATGGTATTTTTTGGACACCTAAAAATTAACAAACAGAAAACGCAAAATGATTTTGATATTAATGCAAATACTGTAAATTTTTTATATACACATCTTATGTTTGAAAAAAGTGCACTGACAAATAGAGATAATAATACTTAAGGCTTTCTTTGTTTACTTTCGACTCTTATCTACTTTTTTATTGAGTGTATTATAAATTCTGATAGTAGATATACAGGGTATACAAGATATACAGGTCTTCAGGTCTACACGTTTTATTATGTTTTTGTTGTTGCTGTTGTTGTTGTGTTTCTGCTTCTGTCGCCAGCTGAGTTAAGTGAGGCCAACAACATTTCAAAAAAGCCCAAGCAGCAACTGTACCCCCAAGCTTGAAAACCAAAACAAATCGACAACGAACGTAGACGTCGCCGTCGTCGCCACTAATACTATAGAAGAAAACTGGCAGCAAAAGCTCCCGAGCACGGCCCGTTTTTTTCGATAAAAAGAATTCGTTTAAATTGCGCGCACAACAAAATCGTTCGAAACAGTTGCGATTGCAACGTCGTTGTGACGACGACAACGACGACGGGACGTCCTTGCCTCAATCATCATACACAAAGGGATACCAAAAACTACAGCAAATAAATAACAAAAAAAGATAGATAAATATATAAATAAATAAATATCTCTTTTAAATAATTAAAATGTTAGCATAGCTAAAACTAAATTACGCATACGTCGAGTAGTGCAAAAAAAAACACCTAAAAAGGAAAATATAACTGTGATAAATATTAATTTCTTCGTTTGATATTCTTTGTCCAAGACAAAAAAGAAAAAGAAAAAAATTAAACATGTCTGTGCCCATGCTCTTGACACCGATGGAAACCCAGACGGCCGAGGAGCACATGCAAAATGTAATTACAAATTAGTATTTATTTAGTTTAATTTAATTTAAACACAGTCTTTGAGACTAAGTCAATTTAAATTGGATCTGAGTGACGTAGCCAGGAAAAGGTGGCATGCATTTTTTCTATAATTTGACATTTCGCACGGAACTGAAGGTCGAAGCTGCTGTTGTCATCACAATATTTACATTAGCTCTCTTCCGCAAGTGCAAAACAAAATCAATAGGCAATAGAAGGAAAAAGCATTTTTCTCAAGTCTACGCATTTTCTACTGTCTTCAGTTGAATGTTGAACATGTGATATCATTTCATATATATTGCATATATATATAAATAGGAACTTGATACATGAGTCATTTGTTGTGTTACCCCTTCGATTATTATTTGAAGCGACGCCCCGTTTGTTTGTTGGTTTGCAAAAGCTTTGGGATCTGTGCCACATGTTGCAAGTGGTACGTGGTACCATCACGTGTCCATTCCCACAATTGCCGTTGCTTCTAAAGTTTAAGTGATTGCTGTGAAGTGGCTAGCTCTTGACGCAATTCGATTAGATTAATTCGATTAACGAGCTTAATTTATACTTATAATAAACAGTTATGAAGCTATCAAGCACACTTCAAGTGCTTCTTGTTCTTAATCAATGCATAACAACAGCCGAATCGAAGAACTTTCAACCTGCACTGCACAACAATTGCGAAAGCTTTTTACACTAAATTTCCCAAACAAAGAACATATGCGCACCAAAGCTCAACATGGGCGGATAGAAAACAAAGAGAAGGAGAGGCAGAGAGCGAGAGAGAGAGCGCGCTCCTCGCTTTGCCAACACGTGCCAGAGCAACGTAAGCGTAAGTTGCTTCGACACGCATTTCTGCGAAGCGCAAAAATGTAATCAAATTGTTTATAATTTCGTTGCTCTTATGTGTTGTTTGCATTCCTTATTCTATGGACGAGTTAAATTGCTTCCCGTTGCTGTAGATAAGGCGTTGCCAAATGTATTTTTTGTTTCTTATTGGCAAGGTTTCGCTAATTGTGCCAAGAGCGAAATAAACCTGACCAATTTATTGACGTAAGGAAAAACAATATCAACAACAACGAACACACGCGGAAAACTATTCATAATTATTAGACTAGACTAGACTAGTATTTTCTGGTTGATGCTAAAACTCACAGTTTTCCTCTAGATGAATTGCGAATTGTTGTTGTTATTGTTGTTTTTTTTTTGTATCGTATTGCTTATTTAAATTTTGGCAAAGCAGTCGCTGTCGTTAGCCCGATTCGAGCTGGTTCGCAACGTGGGCGTTCATTTCTGTCGAAATTGTAATATAATAAATTTCGGTTGGCTGTCCGAAAGTGAATCGCAACGAGTTCGTGGCCTTAACACGTGATCATCTTCAGTGCGCTACAAATCAGCATTTAATTTATTGTCACTTTTATGGGTTCGCCAGCTCAAAGTTTGCATAGATTTTTGACAATTCGATTCTCTTGTTTGGTCCCGAGACGGGGGTGCAGAGTGTGCAGCAATTACGTCATGATTCGCTGTTTACAGCAACAAGCGCAACAGCAGCCGAAATTTGCGCGTTTTTACACGCAGGTAAATCGCCCGCTAACGCTTAAAAACGCCAGCCATAAAACAGCTTTCATAAAGTCAACTCAAAAGCTCAAAATTAAATCTAATCTGTCAACTAAATGCAATCAATATTGCGAACGTTCAGCTCAAAGTTTCAAAATTTTGTTGAATAATCAGTTTGTTTTAATATTCTTTTTTACTAATGGATCTAATTGTTGTTGTTAATTTTAATGTACTTAGTTGCCGCAAGGTAGTCCGTTTATTTTAATGGTAAAATGTCATTAAAAAGACATTTTGTATATTAGCAGACTGTGTACGGAATTATATGAATATATATACTATATACAGTTATCTTTTTTTTCATTCCTTGTACTTTCGACTTTTCTATATATCCATTCTTACACACACAAAATTCGAATATAAAAATGTCGAAATATTTAAAAAAAAAACCCAGCTGTTTATTATCATTTGTATTTCTAGAAATTAATCAACAATTAAATGGGTTACTCACACGTGTCTGTCTAATACGCAATTATTAATAATAATAAAAAAAATCGCCACTAAATAAGGTACTTATAAAATTCACATAGAATATATACAGAAATATATACATATATATATATATATATATATATATGGATGAGGGGGTCATTGGGTGGAGTGGAACTAGTTTGATTAGCAAGCTGAACTTGTAGCTGCTTAAAGCAAAATAAGCAGCTGTATTGATGTACTTTAATCTGTAACTGGCCGATCTGTTAGGGGGCAACACGTGATTTTGTGTGCACTTGCGTCAAAATCGCGAGCGACTTTGTTGAAAATAGCGCGCGCGAGTTAAGTCGCGTGCGATAACCTGCGATCTATTTGCTAAGATTAGAACCGTTTCTGTGACTGTGACAGTGGCTGTGTCTGTGTCTGGTTCTGTTCGCTTGAGCATATTTGAGCTGTTGTCCAGACCTCAGAGCAGTCAGTTGTCGAGCGGATATCGTCGTAGTTGTCGTCGTCGCTATGATTCCTGCATTGAAACTAATTGTTGGCATTATAATTTCAATTGTCTTGCAGTGTGCCGCATTTGTGGATGCAGCCAGTTTTGGCACTGGCAATGAGCTGCTTGAAGCAGCCGCATCGATTAACTGTAAGCCGACGCTGAGGCAGTTCAATGTGCGTCTGCAGGAGCCACTGCAGCCGGAGGAGCAACTGGCCCTGACCGGTGACGCCAAAGCGTTGGGCGAGTGGCAGCTGTTGCGTTGTGTGCCCCTCGAGCGCATCGATGACTTCAATTGGCAGACAACGGTCCGGTTGCAATCGTGCCGCCAACTGGAATACCGTTACTTTGTCTATGTGGAGAATGCGGCGGGCCAAAAGCAAATCAGACGCTGGGAGACCCATTTCAAGCCTCGTCAGCTGCAATCCTGCTCCGAGCAGCAACAATGCCACTCTCCCCTGGATATCTTTGGCCTGGCCAATGGAGGGGATGAGCCAACGACTCAGGTGCATCGTGGCTGGCTGAATCACGAGACGATCATTCAGCTCAAGTTCAATGGCGAGAAAATGTTTCAGGTGCACGACATTGAGACCTTTGATCCGCAACATGTCCAGCTGAAGATTGTGCCCGTGGAGCAGGCAGCGGGTCTTGTCGTTGAGTACAGCAAACAGTTGTATGGCCAGAGTCAGCTCCAGTTGCAGCCGGCCCATGGAGTTCCATACACCAAGGGTGACATAGTCATCTTTCATGTTACGCTGCCGTTGGAGCGCATGATGCTGCAGTCGTTCCGCTTGGAATGCTACAGTCAGACCACACAGGAGCTGCTGGGCAGTGCCACGCTGACAGCTTCCCAGTTGACGGGCAGCGAGGGATTGCTGCAACTGCACATCAAATCCGCACGCGATGCGGAACAGACGCTGGCCCGGCTCAGGTTGCCGTATGTCCTGGTGCAGCCATATCAATACTCGCCGCTGGACTTTAAAACTACCTATGCACACTATTGGCCACGCAGCTGGCCCAATCTGGATGTGGGTCATCGGGGCAATGGCAAGAGTTACATTGCCGAGGCGCCGCAGGAACGGGAGAATACAATTGCCTCGTTTCTGAGTGCACACGCCCATCACGCGGATATGGTGGAGTTGGATGTGCATCTCACAGCCGATGGCATACCTGTTATCTATCATGATTTTGGGCTGCGCACAGCGCCGCCTGGCAAACAGATTGAGAAGCCGGATCAGCTGGAATACGTGCTGATTAAGGACATCAACTATGAGTTGTTGAAGCGTTTGCGCATCTTCTCTGTGATCAATGGCAAGGTGCTGGAATATCCGGCACACAATGCCGAGCCTCGTCACGAGCATCGCATCTTTCCACGGCTGGTGGAGGTGCTGCAGCAGCTGCCCAAATCCCTGGGCATCGATGTGGAGATCAAGTGGCCACAGCGTCGTCAAGGCGGTGGCCACGAGGCGGAACAGACGATCGATAAGAATTTCTTTGCGGATCGTGTGCTGCACGAGGTCATCCAGTATGGCTGTGGCCGGCCCCTGATCTTCTCCAGCTTCGATGCCGACATGTGCACCATGCTGCGCTTCAAGCAGAACATCTTCCCCGTCATGTTCCTCACCCAGGGCGAGACGAAGAAGTGGCAGCCATTCAGTGATCTGCGCACTCGCAATTTCCAGGCCGCCGTCAACAATGCCCAGGCCTTTGAGCTGGCGGGTACAGCGCCCCATGCCGAGGATTTCCTGGGGGAGAATGCCGCCCAGCTGCTGCAGCAGGCGAGGGATCAGGGACAGATTGCCGTCATCTGGGGTGATGATTGCAATTCGCGGGAACGTGTCAAGTATTTCACGGAGATCGGAGCCACAGCCACCTGCTATGATCGCAGTGATCTCTATATGCCGGAGACCAAGCAGCGGTCCTTCTTCAATTCCAGTGCGCTTCTCGCCGAATTCGAGGCTCAATGCCGAATCTAAAGGCGACGGGTGAAAGAGTGAGCTGTGAGGGGCGGGTAGTCGTAGTCGTAGTCGTAGCAAAGTTCAAAGGAGAAACCATAAATATAATTTTTAACTATTAACCACAAATTGTAAATAAAACATTTCCCTTTAATATTGTACGTAGTAAATACTAGTTCCACACAATTTCCAAAATGTGAACGAAATATGTTAATGATTTTAAAATTGTAAAATCTTTTTATATTTTTATCGTATGTAAATATTTATTATAACTATGCATAAATGTTACATAAAACCAACTTTTGCCCAGAAGAGTTTCGCTGGCGAGCTCAGGTGGAATATATTTTTAATGTGGAGCAATTCTTTAATTTAATATTCAGTTACTCAGTCTTGAAAATTGCTCTTGACCAATTTCAAATATTTATTGCTTGAACTATATATATAAATATATATTGATTTTTGCTCTGTTTTTGATATAAGAAAACAAATAAGAAACACAATAATTCAGAGAAAATATTTTTGATAAAAAGAACAACTCAAGTTAAGCAGCTACCAAAAAAAAGAAGAAAACAAAACAAAACAAACGAATCGTTAAAGTTGTTATGTACACAGCCTGAGGGGCTCATACGGAACGAGAGAAAAAAAAACAATAAAAGACAATGTGACGAAAGCATAAAAAATGCTTGGTAGTAATAGAAAAAATAAACAAACAAAAAATCCCAAAAAAATAAATACCTCCAACAATTTTATTATGCGTAAGCAGCCTTTGCAGAATTGCATGCAGATAAACTTTAAGTACAATAATTTAACTAATGCTTACAGTGGAGTGAAGCAGCTTAAGTTCAATAATTAAATTAAATTTACTTCTACAAAAAAAATTGGGGACTAATAATAATTAATTAATTAAATACCACGCTGAAAGGCGTCTCTACAAAAATAATTTGGTGACTAACAATAATGGAGGCAAAAATAAGTTAATTAATTAAATACTATGCTAAAGTGCACTTCTATAAAAGATTACGGCAGAGTAAAAATAATATACAAAGAAATTTAATTTAATTGATTAAATACTACATTAAAATCAATTTTTTGTCAAGAATTTCAAACAACAAAAAACTTTGTTTTAAATCATCCATGAAAATTTATAAATAAAAGAGAGAGCAAGAGAGAGAAAGATAATGAGAGATAATGAGAGAATGCGAAAAAGTAAGAGCGACAGAGATTGATTCGATATGCAATTATTTAATAGTGTCTGACGAATGTTTAATGCCGAGAAAAATCAATCATCAAATGAGCCAAGTTGGTAACAGCTCAATATTCTATGGGCAATTATGGAGCAGCTCATTTGCATGCAGATGAAGATAATGTTCACAAACCCATCGAAAACACTTCAGGCCGAATTGAGATTTGTTGTATTTTTTTAGTTTTCTCTGTTTGGATGTGGGCTTTGCTTGGAAATGCCTGAATAAAGAATTTTCAGTGGACTGTTATCAGGAGAATGGGTGAACGAATCTTGAATTTTGGCATATTTTGTATGCAAATCAGTTACATATCTCATATGCATATTACATACTTCTATGCATATTTTTCTGCAGATAAACGGCATTTGGCGGATCTATACCACAACTCCAATCATAAGTAGGTGTTTTTCAGTTGGAGTTAAAAGCACTCTGCTTGTTTGCAGTGGAGCAAAAACTATCACAACTTTGCTGTGGAGCTGCATTGCTCAATGACTTGGTTTCGTCCTGAAAAGACAATTTATACGCCAGCCGAGGAACTCGACGCACAGATAGTCCGCCGTGTGGAAGATTAATTGAAAAGTGTACAATTCCAGTTGAAATAGGGGAACCCGTTCTGTGGTCTTATCTGTCCAAGTACTTGCAGCTGAATTATAATCCGATTATAAGTCAATGGTAGTCAACGAAAATAAATTGAATAAAATTAATCAATTCCAGAAGTTGATAATTAAACACACACGTAAATTATGACATTAGCATTGCAGCTGCCAGCAAAAAGTCTGACAGAGCCACAATCAATGCATAGGTTGGTATCAGTTTCAGTAAATTAGCATAAATTAACATATTAAACTTAAGTAAACTAAAGAAACAACAGTCGACAAGTCTTTATTAAGATGTCGACGCAGCAGCAGTGAATTAGTCAGATGAAAATTTTTCCATTGACTGTGGCGGTGACTTTGAAGTCTAGGAAAATTGTAATATAATGCTAATCCCCATAGTTGATGAAATTTACAGACGGAATGGAGACAGGCGAGTAGAACAATGAACAGGTTAGCTCCCGGATTACGACCATTCAAAAAGGCTCTAAATATTTTGTATATACATAGCCCAATAGAAATCGAAACGGGGAACTTGTATTCCAATTTTGAAAACTCTTACTTTTGTAGTGTCTGAGATCTGATAATTAAAAACATATATATAATATAAATAAGTAGATAAATATATTTATATGGCGCCGATGATGCTGCCTTCTGCCAGTCATGGTTTTTTTTATACAATTAAGTCAATTTGGCCATTTATTCGATGGTCAATTGTGAAGTGGCTCATTTGCATGCAGATGAAGGCATTGGGATCTATTTCTTCCTTAGTTGTCTGCTGTGTGTGTTGCTTGTACAAAGTGTTTCCAGTGTCCATTGACCAGGTGACTGTGAGTATATCTTATATTCATATTTTTTTACATATCTCATATCTGGTGAATCTATGGCCTAATTCCCCAGAAAACGGACAGATGTTTGTATTCCAATTGTGAGTCAACTTCTCAAGCGTTTATCAGCTGGTTTTAAAAGTTTTTGCTTGACTCCAGTATATCTCTGCCGAACCCGCATAACACAGACAGACTACGACAACTTTCCTAAATGACCTGATTGCGTCACGCGATTTATACGAGAGCTGAGGAACCCGACGCACAGCTAGTCAGCCAGTTGGAAGATTATTTGAAAAATGTGCAACTCTCTGGAAAGGATTTCCAGTTGGTACACAATGGAACAGGAAGTGGAACAGGGGAACCCGTTTGGTAGTGGCATCTTTCCAAGTACATGTATTTGTGTTAGTCGACAAAAATATCTAAATTTCTGAGATCGAACTTTCTTCATCACAATGATTCATTAGCATATGCCAATTTTTCGCAGCCAACCTGATTAGCTCGCAGCAACTTATTAATCAAGCCCAGATGTGGAGAATTAAACATGTACACTGAGCGATAAAAGGAACCACATACCAACATTTATTTTGATAACAACGCTTACAACAAATTCATTAAAAAAGCCAAGACTTTTGTAAGCTGTAAAGTACGAGAATGACAAGAGATAGAGATTTTATAAATATTTTATCTATGCTATAAGTGACATTGAGCCAAATATTTCATTTATTTATTTCAAACATCTTTTACGAATAAAAAATATCTAATTATTTCTGAGCCCTCAAATATAAATCGATTTTAAAAATCTATTATATTTCTTGTTCATTCTTGCACTGCACTTTAAATCTACATTTTTTACTAAGGAATGAAATGGGATTTTTTTTTACAAATATTTTCGACTGATGGCATCTTATTTAAATCAACTGCTTTCCTTTTGTGTTTTATGTGTCGAACAATGTTTTCTCTCTGTGCAAACACAGCTGATTTACCTACACAAAACCATGCTGACCATGAAGAAATTCTTTCATTTGATCGTCTGTTAGTGCCGGGTTAAGAACTCAACCAGAAGAGAGCGAGATTGCGTCGGGTTCGCGTTTGCGTTCAACTTTTGCCGGTTGCTTGTCGGTAGATCTCTTGAAAACAAGTTTATTTTGATTTGGTACGAAATGACGCTGCCGTTTAAATTTCGAAAAGAAAAATGTATCGAGTGCTAAAATCAATTAGCATACTCTTTAAGTTCGCTTTGTTGTTGTTGTTGTGGCGGCTTTTGTTTCGCAAGGCAGTCGCTACAACCAACCAAATACTGAATGAAAGCATTGTCTTCACCACCGCACAGCTAGAGGCCTTTAAGAATTTTGATCATGATGAGCAACTACAGCCACTACAGCCACACAAGCCACAACAACAGCATCGATCCATATCACAGATAACCGGACGTAGTTTCCTCTGTCTGCCCTTCTTTCGTGTGTTCAACCTGGAGCTGCCCGATGGGGGCCCACAACTGGCAGCGGATGAGACAATCGCTGTCAGTGGAGATCATTATGCCCTGGGTGCCTGGAGCATTGCCAAAGCGGTGCCATTGCGTGCCCAGAACAAGCAGCGAAACAAGTGGTTTCTCCGCCAGTATATCTGTGCCAGTCATCGTGTCTACTATCGTTATCTCATCTATGCTGTGGATGCGGACGGTGTGCGTGTTCTGCGTCGCTGGGAGGGTCAGCAAGTGCCACGCATGCTGCAAACCTTTGAGATCTATCGCCCGCCGGGTTTGGACATATTTGGTCAGGCCTATTCCCGATCCGTGGGCGGTGGACTTTGGTTGGAACGTGGCTGGCTGCAGCGGCAATATGTGATTGAGTTGAAGTTCATTTGGGAGCGACATTTGGAGCTATTTGATGAAAGTGTGGGCCATAAGCTGCGACTTAAGCTCAGAGCTCTGAGCATGACGGACAATGCCCTGATAGAGGTCTCCCGCTATGGCTACAATCGATCCTCGTTCCGGGCGCAGGGTCGTCGAGGCGTTAAGTATGAGGATGGTGACATTGTCATCTTTCGCATTAGTCAAGCCCTGGATGTGGAGAATGCATTTCGTCTGTCCATTTATGAGCTGGACAATGCGCAGATGTCCCTGGCAGAGGTTTATATAAGGCCCGACCAGCTGCGCGGCAGTCGCGGCATTATCCAGCTGCCCATAAGGGATCCAATGAATCGGCGGGTCATCGGTCAGCTAACGTTGCCTTATTTGATTATACAGCCGATGGCGACAGCAGCAAAAGCAGCCAGCAATTTGCGAGTGAGTTTTCAACGCTATTGGCCCAACAATTGGCCAACTTTGGATGTGGGCAATCGTGGCCTGGGCACCAGTTATTACCAAGCCAGCAACCCGTTGGTGGAGAACACCATCGAGAGCTTTCTGGCGGTGCCGCAGCATAAAGGTGATATGGTGCATCTGGATGTGCAATTGACCAGAGATTTTGTGCCGATCATTTGGCGTGCCTTCGGTTTTTATACGACCAATCAGCCCAGCACACAGCCAATTGTGGATCGCTTTGATCTGCGCTATGTGCTCATCCGGCAGCTCAGCTATGCGGAGCTGAAGGCCAGTCGTGTCTTCATGCTGAGACGTTGGATGGTGCAGGAATTTACTCATCTGAATGTGCGCAATGTGAGCCAACAGCAGCGACTCTTTCCCAAATTGTCCGAGGTCTACGAGTCGCTGCCCAAAACACTGGGCCTTATTGTGGAGATTAAGTGGCCGCAGTTGATGGCTTCCGGTGTGCTGGAGTCGACGCAAGGGCTCAACAAGAATGCCTATGTGGATAGTATTATTGAGGTGACGGCACATTTTGGTTGCGGTCGTCCTCTGATCTTTGCCAGCTTCGATGCCGATATTTGCACCATGCTGCGCCTCAAGCAGACCGCCTTTCCCAGCATCCTCATGAGCACGGGCCGAACGAACATTTGGGATGCCTACATGGACCTGAGAACGCAGACTTTTGTTCAAGCTATCAATTTTGCGGAAAGTGCTGAAATTCTCGGTACGGCGCCGCATGTGCTAAACTTTCAACCGAAGCAGCAGCAGGTGAATTTAGGCCTGGATCTGCTCCAAGTGGTCTTCATTTGGGGCAGCGATCTGCGAGATGAGCAACTCTTGGAGCAATTTCGTGCCATCGATGTGAGTGGTTTGATCTACGATCGCATGGATCTTGTGGGTCCCGCCAGTTGGAAGCGATCACCCTTCTTTCAGGCACCTCAGCTAATGGAGGTGTTTGGGGCACAGTGTGTGGCCATTGGAAACTCGACAACGGTGCCGGGCGCCAGACCCACAAAGCCGACGGTTTGGCCAAAAATGCGTTAGCCAATGATCGATGTGTGAGTATAATGGGATACAACTTCCAGTTCAGTAGTTTTATTTAATGAGAAAACTATATAGAACTGATGCTGCCTTTAGTTTAATTTCCGACTAGCATCCCATGTAGATAAATTAATTATATCTTCTTCGCCCCAAGTCGAAGTTTTAATTGAACATATTTGTATCTTTGAATTGTATATATTCTCAAATTGTATATTTAACCCAGTTTTATTACAATATCAAACACGAGAAGTGGTATGTAAATTCCTGATGACAATTTTGAATAGTCTTTAAAGCAAATCAGAGACAAGTTTTACAATTTTCGTTTATTTAAAATAATATTTAAGGACATTTTAAGCCTGGGTACAGGGTATGTCCTAGTCGAGCACTCTGGATTAGAGCGTTCATATTAATATTATATAATTAAATTATGTATTAATAATAAATTTAAATTTACAATCCAAACTGACAAAATTTAGATAAGTAATTGATTAAAATGTGAATTGTATATAAAGAAAAAACTCCTCCAAATTAAAAGATGCAACTAAAACTTGTACAGCATCTGGAGATCGATCTCAATATAGAATGAGTATTTAGTAAATGTTATCAAATAAACTTTATTTATACAAATTTTCTGTTATTGTTTGTTATTTGCACCAGGTAGTCGTACTCCTCCATTTAACCCACTTTTACATAGACACTAAACAAAGAAATAGAGAGAGAGAGAGAGAGAGAGAGAAGTATGGAAAGAGACCTGTAGAGACCTATAGAGAGAGGGGAACTGCTGCTGCTCCGAGTTTAGAAATTGGAGCAATGTGAGGCACTGTAGACCTCCATTAGTTCACCCGATATGCAGGCACTGCCGACACCCATGCTCATGGGCTGACAAATGCCTGGCACCTTGGTGGTTATCTCAATGGTGCATACACCATGTCCACTGCCACTACCATGTCCATGTGGATGCTTGTGCTGCTGCTTAAACACCTTTTTATTGTTGGCCAGCTTGGATGGCTTCTGGACGGGCTCTTCGACGAACTGCAGCCAGGCTGGCGGCATTGAGTGCTGAGCGCGTGTGGGCAGCGGAAACTGCTCGACAACATTTTCATCCTGTTCCTGGTCGACTTCTAGCGGCAACTCGACTGCGTCCACATCAATGTCATCGTCGAGCAGCGGAAATGGCGTATACTGAATTTTAGCCTTACCACTTGCCGGCTCATTGTTAGCGGTGCTCAACAGCTGTGGCGTCAGCTCCAAAGCGTTAGCAATCAATAGGGTTGTGGCACAGCAGAGCAGCAATTGCATTGAGGCCATGCTAGTGTTGGGCTGTGGAAAAGATGCTGACGGTTGACTGGCTGGCAACTGACTGCTGATAGCACTGTTCCTCGTCGTGTTGTGGAGCAGCTGCTGGTTCCTGCCGGAATGTGACTTGCCAGGCGCAGGATTTGTGCTTTTATAGGCAGCTGCAAGCGTTGCGCTTGCTCTTCGATAATGATAAGAGTGGACAGTCAATGAACCCCAGGCGCCATATTCACTGTTCAAATTGAAAAGAAGCCACTCAAATCAGAGACACACAGACACAGATAAGCGCACTCGTACAGAAGCCGTAATTAATTATAGTTGAGTATACGTCCAGTAAGCTATCGAACAAAACTACAATGGCAACCACAATGACAAGAGTTTCGAACTCCTTGTGGTGCTTCTCGCCCAGCTAAGCAGGCAGACCGGCAAGCAAGCAGCTTGATGAGAAAATTGGAAATCTATTTAGCAGCCGTTTCCTTATTCCCAACAAATATTCGATTTGATTTTATTTGTGAGACAGTTCGACAGTGCCACTGCCACGGCTTTTCCTATTGCCATCTTCCTTTTGTATTTCCGGCAATTATTTTCGACGATGTGCCAATAACGGCAGCAGCAGCTTTGTGGGCGGGGCGAGGGCAAACGCCTGGATTTGGGGTTGGGGCAGGCAGAAGTTGAAGACGAGCTAACGACTTCATAAGCAGCATGTGATTCCCATTTGAATTCAATTCAAATGCATGCCCACTCCAACTTTTAAGCGGAAGTGAAGTTGACGCCGGCGCCATATTTAAAATGGCTCATACGTGTGCGACGTGCTTATGGCAGTTGTCTTTCGGCCAAAAATGTTATGACAGCAGCACCTAACGAGCCCGTCAAAGTCAATAAACAGACAGTCAAAGTCATTCACGAGCTAAGCAACCAACATATGGAGTTATTTTTATGTGACTAGGGTTGCAAAAAAAATATTTGTCAACCTTCTTTTATTATTTATTCATTTTGTATAAATTTTCTTAAGAACTAAGTTTCAAGGTTTTCATGTTGAACATTTTTCAACTTCTGTCAAACTTTAGTTATATTTAACCTAATTTAATGATGAGGAACCAAATGTGAAACAATAACTTTAAAAATGATTAAATGAATGAATAATTTCCAAAATCTGAACTCTTTGATAATGAAAGAAATTTGTAGAATTTATGTTATATTTTTATTATAAATTATTATAATCACTTGCCTTATTTTTCCAATAAGAGAACGTGTTCAGAGCTTTCACCCCTGGTAAAATTGCGGGATAAAGTATCGAAAGTCTCCAATTCAAACGTTATAGGACAAAGGACTCTACGTAACATAGATAATTAAATTCGTCAACTCTTTGCAATTTGTCAGCGCAGAACGATACGTGAAATTAATTTAAAAGCTCTGATTTTGTGCGCACATTAACTGAATGACAAAGGGCTTCGTATTCTTGTGCGTTTGGCAATTCAATTGGAACATAATGGATGGCATCGCTTTGCCTGCCACTGGCCTAATGACACCGTCGGAGATTAACCCTGCTGTGGTTCACCTCCGTTTCCCAAACGTTGCCCTGGCAGACGAGCTAATTAAACGCATTTTGCCACAGACTTGGCCGGCGTCTTTGTGCCTTACTAATTAGAGCAGCTGTCACAGGCTCGAGTAAAGCATCCAGCGCACAAATAATTCAATTAAATTGCGCACAAACAGCAGCAGCATGAAATTAACAACAATAACAACAGCAACAACAAAAACAACAATAGATTGGAACCACAGAAGCCAATGTCTGAACCTTTCAGCTCGTCGTAACGAACGCCTGCTTCCTAATGCAAATAAGAGTTTTCATGTTTGGGACAACAACCGCAAATACCAACAAATATCAACAAATACCCACTTCACTCTTACTTCAACAAACAATATGCAGATGTATAACACTTTCAGCACGGGCTAAATGCTTAAGGCAAAATATGAATTATATTCACATGTATTTTATTTATAAATGTTGTTATGAGAAAATGCACATTTAAATACTGTAAAGTGAAAAATGATTTATTTTAAATCGATTTTCATACGTATGTTGGATTTTCCACAAACATATCAACTTTGTTGCTCAGAACTTCATATATGTATTTACAAGGGCGTACTCAGCTTTTCGTGAAAAGGGGGCCAAATTTCATAATGGGAGGGAGAAGGGTAATTTGAATTCTCTCAGAAATTTTAATACAAACAACTGTGCTTCAATTAAAATTGTCTTCTCCTGCGTAAGAGTTTACCAAACAAGAGCTACTAGAGACAATTCACTCGACGCTGAAATGCATTTGTAGAATAAATGAATAAATAAATATTATATTTTTGAGATGGATCTACACGCATTTTGTATGCCAATACAAGATACAATGTTTACAATACGGAAGAAATAAACTCTTTTCCAAAATTTGGAAAAATGTGCACTTCAAATTAAGAAAATAAAATCCATGTTGTTTAGAAAGACAGAACTTATTTTTTAGATATATACTTCTGACTAATGTGAAGAGTAACCTTGGCGACAAACGGAAGGCGATTTTCTAAAATTCAAGTAGTTTTTTAGTAGTAGTAGTTGACTCTAACTGAGCGCCTTTAAGTAGTAAGAAAAAAAGACTTTCTAAAATGGCCCTTGTGAAAGTTGACGACTTCTTGACTAGAACTGCAGGCAGCTATTTGGCTATGACTTTACCAGGAAAGCGGTACTTAGTTTTGGCTTTTCAGTTTAAAGGAGTTCCGCGAGCTCAATTTAATCTTTCACGCTCCAAATGTGGGAAGCACGGCAACTTTTTGGCGCCAGCAACGTTTTAATTTGCATTAAATCGCGCTGCGAGTTGCAAAAGCAAAACTCGTCGGAGCAACTATTAAACTAAACTTACGAAACCTTGGCCATAAGTTTTTCGGGTTGACGTTTCGTGAGTGTGCATACAAATGGGCCAAGATGTAGCAGATTTTAGGCCACTGTCAAACTGCTTGGCTGCCATTAAGTCTTTAATAACTTTCGCCGCAAATCAAAGTGGCCTACAGCGAAATGGCAAATATCTAAGTGCCAACCAGTTTGCCGCATTGCGTGCCGGCCATTTTTTATGTATGCGCCATTTTGTAAAGAGGCAGCCAATACAAATAGCTAAGAGTTAAGGCCAAGAGGCAAAACGTTTTAACAAATGTCAACATGAGTCGGGCGGATTAAGTTAAGTTAGTAGTAGGAGCTCCCTACGTTTGTAATAAAGGTTTGCTCTTAACACATTGGGTTTGCACTTAACCTATTATTAGACAAATAACCATTGTCATGAAAAATTTAGTTCCGTATATTTGGATACTTATAATGTGAAATACATAAATAACTTATAAATAAAAAATAATAAACATAAAATTCGTTTTATATAATGACAAAGAAAATATTTCATTACTAATTAAACACAATTTTCAAAATTTTGCATCCTAAAATGATTGCATACAAAGATCCTTAAGTAATATATAGTGGTTCGATACTTACTGTTCCAAAAGATTAAAGACTTGTACCTTAAGCAAGAATTTTTATATATATACACTTTGTATACCTTAAATACGTACATAATAAAAATATATTACATCTATTTTTTTTACCTCATTGCCTCGTGCATCGTGCATCCATAGTAAAACCGAATGGGGCGATAAAGTCTGATAATAAAGATGGCACTAAAAGAGACCTGAAAAAATAACCGTCAGTCAATGGGTTAATGCCACAATGGCTAGGTAAACAATTCAGGGCATTTGCCACATCAGGGCTTGTCCGTTCAAAATGTACTTTTAAAAAGCTTTTAATTTATATTTTGTCAGTGCGGCTAACGTTTCGCAGAGATATGGGCCTTCGTGCAGCAGCTGCCACACATGCATGCCACATGGCCACAGATGCTGGTACACCTTTTCACACACTTATCCACATACCCCTGCACTCTTGTCCCTCACACGTTCGCATATGTGCAATGTTCACTGACATAAAAATATTTAAGAATTAATTCTACTGAGCTTCGCCATTTTCACAGCAGTTAAGCGAGAAATACCCAAAGGAAAATTGTATGAGGTTCTTTGAAGCTATTTTTTTCGCTTTCGTTTGCAGCTTCTTGTATCAAAGGCAGCAGCGAGCCGATAAAAGTTCAAATATTTTTTGGCCACAAAAAAAATAAAATAAAATACATTTTCCGCCATAAACTTTTTCTTGTGTGCATACGGAAATTTCTTTTACAGTTTCCCAGAAATAATCGCCTTTTGCCAAAGTTGAGCTGTTAATGCAACTACGTAGTTAATTTACATGCAGCAGGCGCAGAAAATGAGTTTTATTTTCCGACAGAGCCAACTGGAAAAACGTACGAAATGGAATCGCTACAATATGGCTCACACTTCATTGGCATAAAGTTAAGATCAATAATATAGGTCGTGAAAAGATTCGCCTTTAGATGTTAAGTTGTCGTGTTCAACAAGCAATCAAAATAAGCCCAAATTGCTCAGAACTTTTTTAAAGCCCATAAAAAAGGCAACTCGTGTGAACGGACAGCAAGCCAAGCAGATAGGCTATTTCAACACCCATCGCACTCATCAGCTGTTGTAATAAGTACAGCAAGTGCGCAATATAAATGTTGGGGCTGCCACACAAATTATTGTTGGGCAGTTGTCCTTAGGTCATGTTAAATCAAGCAATGAAAACTTTAATGGCATCAAACAACACGAACTAATGTAAGGCGTTGTCTGGTCGGCAATATCAAATGGCCTTGACTTTAGTGCCATGAAAGAGCTGGAAAGCTGTCAGTTAGTTAGGTCTAAGTAAGTAGCTAGCAATTGTTTGCCAACCTAAACAAGCAGAACCTAATAGCCTTTAGTTGCAAGCAGTAATGTTGCAAGTGTAGGATGAAAATTAAGAAATAGCTCAATTTTACTGTGCACCACTATGCAAACTATTAAAAGAAACAATTTAACTGGTAACGAAAATCTAATTCCGGTAGAGGAAAGCAAATTGAAAATGGCATACAAAAAATGTTTAGCTAGGGAAATATAAAAACTATAAAAAATTATATAAAAAGGAAATGAATGAAGGATATTGCAGTCACAT